TATTTATATAAAAATGAAATTTTGTGAGAAAATTTTGTACAAAGCAATTTGGTGTTTTCATTTATAAGTTTCTGCTAGCAATTTAAATTTATTTTAATTAATTTGGAAAATATTTTTAGAATTTTTAAGTTTTAATAATAAATAAAAATTGTTAGAGATTTTATGAAATAAAATTAATTGGTTTTTTTTTCCAGGAACTCAATGAATATTCAAATTAAATATTATTAGATTGGATCAAAATTGTTCTACTGTTCAAGAAATGGAATTTTATTTTAATTATTTTCCATAAAAAAACAGTGTTTTTTATTATAAAAATTTAAAAGAGAATTTTCATAACTTTTAAGAACAAATTTTCACATCTTGATCTTATTTCTATTTTAATATTTGCTTTTTATTAGAAAATTATTAAGTTTCAAGATTTTTTCACTGCAGTATTAATTTCTTTTTTAATTAAATTACTGAAATAAAATATATTTTATTTTCGGAATTAAATTGTTTTCTTCAAATTTTTAATTGATTACGGTTTTTATTTTAAATGTTAAATTTTAAACAATAAATATGAGTAAATATTCTTTAAAGTGATTATTATTAACATTGAATGGGAGTTATTTGGGTACTAATTATTGTCAATTTTAAAACTATAAACAAATTATTATTTTTGACACGCTATTGGCTTTTAATTATTATCCTCTTAAATATTTTTATACAAATGAATAATTTAAAAATATTAGAAAAATTTTCAATTTATGTATTTAAAAAAAATTAATACTGCAATGAAAATATTTGATTTTTTCATTTTTATTTGGAAAAATATAATTAATGGGTACAAATAAAATAAAAATTTAACAATATTTTAATAATGTTGTATTTTTAAAAATAAAGATAAATTACCCTAATTAGATTTTTTTTTTCTTTGTTAAATAAAATCTTTACTTTTAGTTGTAATATTTTCTTTTCTTTTGTAATTGGAAAAATTTCAATATTAATTTTGTTACACAAAATTAAATAGAATAAATTAAAATTTTGAAAACAAATTAATTACACTTAAACTTATAATTAATATGAAGAAATATCACAGATTCGCATTTTATTTTTCATTTTATATATATATATATATAGCGAAAGTTTAAATATTTTATTTAAAACTAATATGTTAATTAAAATAAAATATAATTTCTGTTTGTAGAATTAACAAACATATAATATCAATAATTGTATAACATTAAATAATTTTAATATTTTAATATATTATGATTTAAATTTTAAAAAAATTAAATTTTATATTTATGATATAAAAGACTATAATATTTTATGTGATGTAATTGATATGAGTATTAATTATAATGTAAAGAAATGTAAAAACACGGAGTGGTTGGATTATAATTTATAGTTTCAATATTTAGTTACTTATTATTTTGTATAGTAGCAGTTTGTGTTAAAAATTGAGTTAACTTTGCGACAAATTAGTTATACTTGATATAATTGTTATGCAAAAGATATTAATGATTCAATGATTTCCGTTTAGGAGTTTATATAAATATTAAATAATACAATTAAAAATTAAATAAAATTTACTCTACTAAACAGTATAAAAGTAAAAATACTCTACTAAACAGTATTTATTTTATTGAAAATCTAATTATTAATAATCAATCAAATTTGGATTATTTTACAGTAGTGATTCCTACTGTAACATATTTTGGGCCAATAATATTCTAAGTTTTTATACTATAATAGAAATTTTGGAAAATAAAGGAAATATCTTAAATTTTATTCTGAAAAGAACATTAAGTGAGAAAATGTTTATATAAAAAATGTTGTTCCTACAATAAATTATAAAAGTAAATAAAAAGCGTTTATTAAAATAATAGTACAGTATTTTAAGATCTAGATAAATTACTTTATATATAACAATTATTTTTCAATATAAAGTATTTTAAATGTTTATGCTTTATTCTTAAAAAATCTTTATATTTTGTAAGCAGTTTCGTAAATGACTTAAAACGAAACTATTTTATAGCATTTATAATTTTATAGCAATAGTTTATATTATTTTTGAATTTATTCACTTTAATTTGATGAATTAATTAATTACTTTCTACTAAGTCAATAATTATACATTTTTGATATTAAAATAATAATATTAAATAGAATATTTCAGAAGAAAAAAAAATATATAATAATATAGAATAATTTAAGGGGGAAATGCAGAATTTGTATAATCAAATTATGTAATATGTATGAATACATATATTAAAATTGTTAATAAATTTTAAAAATGGAATATGGAAAAAATATGCTCAAATAATTAATTATTTATTATTAATTGATTATATTAGTTATTTATATTATTTTACTATAAATGTATATAATATTATAATAGAATTGGATCATTATATAAATAACTTTTAATGGCAGTTTTATTTATTCAATATTTTTTTTTTATATTTTAATTTTACATACAAATAACAAATTTTGAAATGTAACAAATGTATACTGTACACCATCCAAATAATTATATTATATGGAATGAATATAATCTATAATGACATACTACTAGATATGTTCATGAAAATAAAATATTATCAACAAATTGAAAGCTCTTCAAAACGATTTATTTAACATAATATGAGTAATTAATTAATTTTGTGACCATCATTATTTAAATTAAAAAAAAAAAAAAATATATTAAAAGGAACTGGTAAAAATTCTTTAAAATATTTTATATAATCAATTACATCATTTTTATAGTCTTTCATTAGAAATTTTTGCAATAAATTCCTTAAACTGAAATTTTTCCATTTACTGGTTTAGAATAATTTGAAAAGCAAAGATTTTAAAATAATATCATAATTGCTTCTTTCAAAAGTAATATCAATTTATACAAAAAACAAAAAAAAATTAAAATTTAAAATAAATTTTTGTTTTTTTTTTTGAGTGTATTCTTTTAAAATGTGTTCAATAGTTTGTGTTTGTTGCCAGTTTTTCAAAAAAAAAAAAATATTTTTTTTTTTTGTTTTTTACACATTTTAGAAAGACAATCTAAAATCTAAAGAACATTTTCTTAGTATACAATTATTCATTTATATTATTTATGCATTATATATGTATATAATAATATAATTACAATATAATATTGACTAAATACATAGATATGCTTTAGGAAAAGGGTAGCTTAAATTTTGATTACAACATCCTTTTTTTTTTTTTTTGAAAAAGGATTCCTTTTTATTCATAATTTTTTGTTTTTGTTGTTATTCTTTCTTTTTAATATATAAATATTTAGTTAAATTTAAATTAAAAATGAAAATCAAATAAAATTATTTTTTAATTTTAATATTTTGTTTTTTTTTTTTTTTTTTGAATTTAAATCTATAATTGAACCATTTACATGTTTTAAATTTTAATTTTTTCTTATTTTTTTTAATAAATTTTTCCCTTAATTTTTTTTTTAATATAAATAAAAATATTCCTAATAAGTTTATATTTGTGTATATATACATATATTATATACGTATATATACATATATATATAAACAAATACATTATATTACATAATTTTATTGATGTTTTTCTTTTCTCAATTGTTTTTATAATAATAATAATAATAGTAATTATACTGTAATAATTAAAATATAATACAATAATAGTTTTAAATAATGCACCAATCAATTAAAAATTTTCGTATTATCAAAAAATATAAAATATATTTATATATTATATTATATTCTATTATATATATATAACATGTATTTTTCAAAAAAAAGAAAAAAATCATTAGGATTATTATTATATATATATTTATTAATAATTATATACTTTCTTAAATAAATTTAATTTTACTATATCAGAAAAGTGATACTATGATTACAATTATTTATTTATTTATCTTTTTTTTTTTAATGCTTCTATACTCTATGAAGAGATTCCATATATATATATATATATTATATATATATATTATGTATATATTTATCTTGTCATTATTTAATATATGTTTATTAATTATTTGTTATATTGTAATATTTAACATATAATTAAAATTAGATATCATTATTTGCAAAGGAAAGTTATATAGCAGAAAATAAATTGAAAACAAATTTAAATTTAAATGGCTTTCAAGGATTTCGAGTTTTAAGTTTAAGAACTCAAATATTAGAGAAGTAATTTGTCGCAATATAAAAGATTCCAAGTATTTGAATAATATGTGCATATCATTTTAAAATGATTAAATTTAGTTAATGATATTGTGATGTTTTATAATCATTCCTTAACATAAAATAATAAAATTTTTAAAAACTATATTTCACAAAATTTCATTATTGGGAAGTTATTGAATAATTCGTTTTTAGAATAAATTTCCCAAGATTCTAATAATTAAATTAATTTTATCAGTTGTCTTATAAATTTTATAATACATAAATTATTTGTAAATTGATTTAATTTGTTAAATTAATTTTATCTACGCTTTTATCGTTTCTGTACTCAACAATAGAGCAGAATGCCCGAAGGGCATAATTTTAATATTGTAACCGGTTTAATGGTTTAAAAATGAACTGAATTAATATTTTTAAAAAAATTTTGTTTTAATTTGCATTGATATTTAATTTTAATATATTTTTTATGACATCATATAAATATTAATTAAATGTAGTAATTATACTATTATTATTATTACATATATATATATATACTTGAATATTAATTTATTAAAAATTTCCTTTTAACTAAATTTACTTATTTTTTTTTATTTAATTCAATATTCTATATATGTATATATAAATGTACGTACATATATATATATATATATATATATATATATATGTGAATATATATGACAATACTATATAGTAATCCTTTTGTTTGAATGAATATATATAATATATGTATATGTATATATACATATAAGTTTATACATATAAATATATAATTAAATTCTAAAACGATTTTACTTGCTTACTAAATTAATAAGAAAATTTTCTAATATTTATTTTTTTTTTCTTGTTGTTTATCCTTAATTATCGTAAATAATAATATAATTTCAATTTTAATAATTATTATTCTATTATAATAATATGAGTATATTTAATTTTTTTTTCTTGCTTTTTTTTTAAATTTTTTCTTTTCCTTATTTAATATTAATAATAATGATAATAATAATAGCAATAATAATAATAATGAAAATAATAATGATAATAATAAAAATAATAATTTTTATCGAATGGAATGTAATTTCCATCGTAATACAAAATATGCAATTATTCTTAAAGCAAAAAATATTCCAATTAATGCAACAGCATCAATCCAATATTCCGCTTTATCCATAGACATTTGCTCTAAAAATTTCTTTGGACTACGATAGTGACAATATATTTCAGAACATTGTAATTTTTCACGATCCATACCATATATTGATATCATAGCACCTAAAATATACAAAAAAATTAATATTAATATTTTTTTTATTTTTAATAAAACAATAATTATAATATGATGATGATAATAACAATTATTAAATACCTTCAAAACCATAACGAACATAACTAACATATGTTACCCATTGTAAATAACCTGGTATTGTATCAAAATTGACAAAAAAACCAGAAAATAATATCGTTGGAATTGTTGATACTGGTCCTAAAAATACTCCAGCCTCAACATTAAGACCGGCACCAATTAATAAACCTAAACTTTGTGCTACTAATGAGGTTAGTACGCATATGAACACAAACATTGCTGCACGTTGTGGATCCATTGGTTGTGATGTTAAATAATAAACAACAATAACGTAAACGCTTGAGAATACAATCTAAAAGAAAAAAAAATGTAATTTATTAAACAATTTCGATTTTTATTAAATTTAAAAAGTTTTTTCTGAAGTTTTATTGAAGTTTTACTTAAACGTGACGAGATTTTGGAAATCGTAGTCTGTTATTTAATAATTCTAAAATCATCGTAGTCGATAATTTTAGAATTATTTAAATTAAATCATACTTTCCTGGATTACGAATGTGGAGGAAACGATTTTAAATTTTGTAATTATTGGATTTAGTGCTAAGTCAATTTCGGGAGTTTCGTTTAATTGTCATCGAAATTACTATATATTGAGAATGATTATGTGTATAAAAGAAAGTGGATATGTTTGGTATTTATAATGTCATAACACTCAATATGAAAAAGTTTACACACTCTGTCTGTAAGATATCGGGTATGCTTTTAAGTTTTACTATTGTTTAATTTGTTTGGGAATTCCCTGTAAAAGAAATTAGCATGCAATAATGCTACAATTGTGTTTAGCATACTTTTAGGGATTTGCTTTTGTTTTAATATTTTGCAATTTTAATACTAAAAACTAATTGATTTAAAATAAGAATTTTAATTAAATAAATATCGGAACAAGATTTCTTAAAATTAAATTAATTTTTTAATAAAATATTAATTTTACAAAATATTTTCAAAAATTATGATGTCATTACCAGTCTTTTAAGATTATTTGTCCCATAATAATTGGTGTAACAACAATGAAACTATAATAATGAAATGTAAGTTTTTAAACTTTCCAAGTTAATTGTAATAAAATATTGTCTCTAGTTAATTATTTAAGTATAGTACTTAATTTTTTAGAGACATGTTAGATAATATAAATTAAAATATTCATATGTGCACAAATGATTGTAATTATTAAAGCACTACAATATATTGTGTGTACAAAGGTCAGATTTCTTTTCAAAGGTCGTATCATATAGAAAACTTTGTTGTTATCGTTTACAACTTTTTCTAAGTAAAAATTGTTTTTTTTTTTTTAGTATTTTCTAATTGAAGGTCATAAATTCCGACAGTGAATATATATGCTCTGTATTTGATATTATTTTGTTAATTGTAAATGTACAACATTCATAGGGTATTTGAAAACGAATTGAATTCATGTATAGGCATTATGAAGAACGGAAATGTAAGTGATTCATTTAAATCCGGTTAAAGTTGTGTATTAAAGCCAGACGTGAGATAAATTATAATGAAATTGAGAAAGAGTTCATATTTCAGTTAAAATTTTGTTTAAAGTAAATTGTGTTTTAAGAAAAAAATAAAACTTTAACGCAAGAAGAAGAGCTCCGTCTGATACAAAAAACTATGTTCACTTTAAATTTTGCCTAGGTTTTTTGTTATGACAAGTAGCTGTATAAATTATAAGCCAAGCGTGTTATAAACTTTTAATTTCTTATATAGAAATGATGTTAAAAGACGAAATCTTTAATCTTTAAGTGCCACTGTTTAAATTACTTAATAACCTACATATATTTTTATATTTATTACATATATTATGCATGCTAATATTTAATTAGAAAGCATACACATTTACACTTACTTGAAATGGCAAATCGGCTAAGGTTTTTGCAAAATAAAAAGCTTTTAACGAATACCAATAATTTAAATGTTCTCTTACAAACACTGCCATCTCAGTAGGAACTAAAAAGGAAAACAATAAAATAAAAATTTAATTATAGAACGCACTTTGAGTGAAAATTATATATATAAAAATATATATATATATATATATATATATATATATTATGTATATAAAAAATTGTTATAAAAATTCAATTACATGTCAGTATTGTCGGCATCATCGCTGTAAACATTGTAAATAAAGTTGTAAAGAATATACATCCAGCATTACTTGTAACCTTAGATGCTTCATTACCGATATCATAATAGATCATACCAATAATAGCTCCAACAATAACATGTGATGCTAAACGCATTTGTGTTAACATACGATCACGCCATATTGTCAGGAATGTACGTTTTAATAATATCCAAAATTGTACCCAACCACTTGTTGGGAATGTTGCATTCTTTGGTATTGTCACAACACTTTCACTTGAATCTAATAATGATGTTGTACATGTTGCACCACTTGGTATTATTGTTGTTGATTGATTTTTATTTAATGTTGCTGTTGTTATACAAGCGCTACCATCTTCACTACTACCATTTGTCATTGGCATATTAATAATAGTGCAGTCAGATTGCTGTGATTGTGTAGATTCTTGTTGTTGTAGTTTCGGTGGTTTTAATTGCAGTTTATTTGATGATAATGATGGTGACAGTGTTATTGCTGTATGTTGTTGCTGTTGTTGCTGTTGTTGTATATATTGTGCTGGGGATGCTATATTAGGTGATGTAGTTGTTTTTGTTGATGTTATACCATCACCAGTTACAGCAACTGTTGCTGTAACTGTTGCCGTTAAATTTTGTTGCTTATCATTTATATCACCTTTTAAAATATCATTTGATATTGTTTTTGTTCCGGCAACAACCTGATGTGCCATTATATCAATTGCATTTGATGTTGCACCTGTTACTGATGACGACATACCATATTCTTTTTGACTATATTGTTTACATTTACCAGATTTAACAGCCATCACTAATTTGTGAACGCATTCTCCATATTCTCCGCATGCAACTTCCATAACATAATCAGCTGGATTATGATAACTTGGACATTCAAAACCTAATAATGATAAAAATGGCACCAATCCACGTACCCGACCTTGATATATACATTGTCCTTCGGCTAACATATATAAATGATCAAATTTTTCAAAAAGTCGTGCTGATGGTTGATGTATTGTGCAAACGATAGTTCGGCCTCCACGTGCTAATGATTTGAGCAAAGAAATTAATTGAAAACATGTTGAACTGTCTAAACCAGATGTTGGTTCATCAAAGAACATTACAGGTGGATTATTAACTAATTCAAGTGCAACAGATAAACGTTTCCGTTGTCCACCAGATAAATTTAATGTTCTTGTATTACGAGCTTCACTTAGGCCAATCATTTCGATTATTTCATCTACGACAACATGTTTCGCTTGTTTTGTCATATCTTTACCTAATTTTAAATTTGCTGATACCATCATTGCTTCACTTACAGTTAAATTTGGTATTAATTTATCATCTTGCATAATATAACATGATAATTTTCTAAATCGTCTTAAATTTCTTTCTTTACCATTAATTAATACTGAACCACTTAATTGTGATGTTCTACAAATATAAAATTATACCAATATAAAATTTGGTTAGTATTTTATGTTAAATAAATTTAATATATAATTGTTTCTTACTTATAACCAGCTAAAATATTCATTAGTGTACTTTTTCCGGCTCCAGATGGTCCCATAATAGCAGTCAGTTCACCATTACGAAATTTTCCACTAACACCTTTCAGGATGGTTTTAAAACCACGCTTTCTACCCTCTGATATCGAATATGATATTTCAGAAAATTCAATATCGACTGGTGGACGTTTTGGAAGATGTGTAAGTGAAATGGTATTTTTCTTTTGATATCCATTAGGACTATGATTATGTATTTTTGGGGCTAAAATATGATTACCAGGAATTGAACCGTTTACTAAATTGCTTTGTGAGCTGCAATAAAAAGTATAATTAAAATAAATGTAAGTTAATTAAATATTAATAAATTTTTTTAATTAAATTTAAAATCAAATCCTTAATTTAAATTTCAAGCTAATTTCTTTGCCTAAATATGTAAATATTTTTACATTTGATTTTTGAAGTTTTTCAGTAAGCTAAGCTGACTTAATTTTGTTAAATTTTTTTTTTTTTGGTGAATGTAATGTTAATAGTTAGTTGAAAGAAAATCATGCTGAGTTGTAAGTTTTTAGGGATTTTACGACTATCATTTAGGCTTAGCGCTGTATGCGATGGTGCTCACAATTTTCCCGATACTATATAATCTCAAAAATTTCTAATAGATATGTGACATACGTTAAATTAAAATGTTATATTGACATTATACCTTCAATGTATGTATAGATCTCAGTGGGACGTGACGAGTGTTAATTAATTACTGTCGTGTACAAAAAATTGCAAATAATTTAGGGAAAATTTTCAATATAAGAAAGTAGCAGTGTTTTTTTTTGACGTGATTCTTTTTCAGTTAAATAAAAAGAGTTACATAGGGAGAGTTCAAAGAATAATAGTAAAGATTTGCAATTTAAACAAGATGCAACAAAAGAAAAAGTCTTTTCAAAGTTTATTGCTTTAACAAATCTTAATTGAATTTAATTAATAGAAGGTAATAGAAGGTAATATATTTTATTTAATTAAAACACAATTTAATTTAATTAAATTAAATTTGATTTCCAATTTTTTAAATGAGCAATTAAAAAATAATAATTCATGTTATGGGAATTACAAAACAATTTGAATTGCGTTTTTTTTTTTGTACTTACAGGAAACAAAAAAACTATTTAAGCAAAGTTTGACCAAATTAATTTGAAAATAAATAAAAAATTCAAGTACATATCGGCATATATTGCATTTTTGTATAACCTAATTCAAATCAAAATTTAATATTTAATACGTTATTGTAGAAGACAAGCTTCAAACTTCTTTTGCAACAAGTTTGATCAAAATTAACAGATTGATCGGTTTCAACAATTTATGGTAAGGACTGCCTTTTATTATTTACTTTCAATTTTATTTTCCTTTCCAGCAAGTTTTTCAAAGGTTTCTAATTTCACTTCACACGTATTATAGAAACTGTTTTTTAAAATTTTATGCAAATTAATGTGTAAATTAGAAATCAATTCAGAAGTCAACTTCTTTAATTTATTAATCTCAATTTTTAAAATCAATGAAAACAGATATTTGAAATCATAAATGATTAAATATATGAAATATTATATTTCTAAGTGGACGAATCATCTATCACGAGTTGGATGAATGAAACTTTCGGTCAAAAATGCAATAATTTTTAATATTTTGCTAACGATTCTAATGTTCAAAGTGTAAAGGTGTTATAATAAGCATCCCACATACTATTTGTTGAATACATACTATCTCATTATTCAACCATTATCGGCAATTACTCTAACTAGCTATAAATTTACAAGCTTTTTTTCCCATTTGTTCTTCGTTTTTTTCGCACTCGGTTGCTTTTAATTTTACTATGGCTGATAATGTACAAAATTTATGAGCTTAAATGTTTTTTTTTGTTTCACTTTCACTTAAAATTTTTGTATTATAGTGTAGGATCAAATAACAAAAAAAAGAAGAAGAAAGAGAAAAAATAGAAGAGACAAAATAGATAACACAACATATAATCGTGATAAGTGAGAAAATTTCACGATAGAATTTTTTTTTTTTTTAAATTGAATCTACAGAATGAAACAATAGCATAAATTGGCTAAGTGTCATTTATAAAACTATGAGAAAAAAAGATGATATTTTAGAAACAATTAAAGCAATTACATCAATTGGTGGAAGCCTCCAATTTTCATACGATTCGCAATCATTTTGTCTTTGCTTTTGTTTTTGCTTTTTATTTCAAGTTTATTAATTTAAAAAGATTTTTCTTTTCCATTATTATTTTCGGTTTTAGTTTTTTTTTATATATTATACATAATTGTCGTGTCAATTAAATTATATAAGTATTATGCATTCGCATATAGCTTATTTGAAAAGGTGAATTTTGTAATTGAGTTCGGGTCAATTTTGTAATGAAATTTACATAATAAATGATTTTATTGATTGCTTAAATTTGTCTCAAATGAATATTTTAATTCAAAGTTCGGCCAATATTTTATTTAATAGAAATATGCATTCGAATCATGTTCTTTGATTATGTTCTCAATTTTTAATTGATTGATCAGTATAGAAAAATTACTTTTTATTTTAATATTTAATTTAATTGAAATATATTAAAGGTTTATGAGAAAAATGCGAATTTCATTATATGGTTATCATATAAGTAGGTGAAAAGTTCAAATTTAAATAAGAGAATAAAGAGTTATAACGTAAGAACCAAAAAAAATTGTTAGTTTTTAAAGTTGCCAACTAACAAAAAATTTAGTTTTTAGTTGGCAACTTTGAAGATCAATTAAATCTTGGCCGTATTATGTAATTTGTATTGAAATGGGTTTGAGTCTAGGATTATGCGAAAATTAAACTAAGTGATTTACAACACTATAATGTAGGCATTTTGACTTTTTCTTTTGGAATTACTTTCCAATAGTTTTTAGTAATATTTACCGGACTGTATAATCCAGAATATATTTTCATAAAGTTAGAATTGGCTTGCACTAGTACAAATACAAGTGTTTGAGGATTATAAAAAAAAAATTATAATTCGATTGAGTTTTATATTTAATATACAAAACTTAATCGAGTTTGCTAGGAGATCTTAATCTAAGCAAGTGTCAGGTATTGTATTTATTTTGGAGACGTCATTTTGCGGAGGCAAAGTTTTAATACAGGCCTAATGGGCAGATTCTGGAAATGGTTGATCAAATTTGTGATCCAGATCTTATGTTGGATTGTAGGCTCGATTTTAAGGCCCACCTTAATTTGCTGATTAATAGGGCAAATTATACTCTGGGTTTTGTCATGAGGTGGGCTACGGAAAATAATCCTTTTGTGACAAAACATCTTTATGTTGCTTTTGTGAGGCTCGCTTTAAAGTACGCATGTCTATTCTGGTCTACTCTTCATAATGTTGATATAGATCATATTAAGGCTGTGCAGAGGCGTTTTATTCATTTTAATTTTCGTGGTTCGATCAATTCATACCAGCTTTTATAAGTGGGCATCCGTTTAGGTTGGACTCTTTAAAAGTATATTTCGGCTTTTAGACTTATGGTTGCATCGCAGTCGTAGTTAGACCGATATAGTTTTCATTCATAAACTTGTAGTGGGTAATGTCAAATTCTTTAACTATATTTAGACATTTATAATTAATATTACGGTCATAAATACATGTACATATATTATTTAAAATGTCATAATTAGAATTATTTTTTGTTTAAAAAGATAAAGTTCGGCCTACGTTTATTTTTTACGGCCTAGCATTTATTATAATATAATGCATAGAATGTTAACTCAGTTGATAACTAGCTGGTAACACTAATAAAAATTTTCATTATTTATTAAAAATATTTAATTTTTCTCTTTAATATAGATGCTTCTTAATTTAATAAAACTTATATCTTGATATAAAAATTTCATCAGAGGCATATAAATGCTATTTCACTTAATTTAATGTTCTCTTGATGGTAATTATAAATATATATGTAAATGTATATATACAGATATTGCTATTTTTTCTTCCTTTTCCTTTTAATTGAAATCCACAATAAACGTGTAATATTTATCATAGTTATTTGATATTTTACTGGAAAAGGCATTCATGTTTATTTGAAATTACTTATTAATTGAAAGGAAAATTAGATTATCGTGTTTAAGATTAATAATAAGATATAAATTTAATATAAAAAAAAATTCTAGGTACCTGTTTTGAATACAATAATAATCGTAAATTTCCACCAAAAAACAACAAAGAAAGGAAAAAAGGTAACATAAGAATTCTATTTTTACTGACCAAAGGAATCGTTAATCCTTTTCAGGTGAATTTCATTTTATGTATTTCCTTATTTTTAACAATAACAATGTTAATACATATTTAATGGTATTATATTAAAATATTTATATTCTTAGTACCTTGTTTTCGATTGATTAAAAAAGTATTTGATTAATTTGATAAAAGGATGTAAAATTCAATGCTGCTTGAATTTATAAATATAAGTAAAATGTTAACAGTTCAAGACGGGGAGTGATTTAACAACTGAAGTCGTTTTTTACAACCGAAGCAGTTACCCTAACACATAATGGATAAAAGTTTTGTAAAAGTGTAAACTAGATTCCAATTTTTACTTAAGCAATTACTTAACAAGAAAGGAAAAATTTACATAATAAGGCGTATGATGTAAAGCTCACGTTTATTTTTGTTAAATTTTAATTTCTCAAATTCGTTTTATGTTGCTTCTCGTCTACGTACTAGTAAAATTTCTTGTAAGTTGAAAACGTTTTTCTCACTCTCATAAAATTCACGATTTCAATATGTTTTTCTCTTTCAAAGGTTTCTCACACGTTTTTTTCTAATGATTGTAATTTTGAAATTTTTCGACAATTTCTCTTTATTCAACTTTGTACTTATTTTGAAATTTTTTTTATTGTTTATTTTTTTCTTTTGATCTTTTAATTGTTGCTTTTTCGTTTACTCTTATTATTTACGTTATTATTTTGTTTTCCAGAATTTCAAGGTTAATTTCTATTAATAGTTGTTATTAATAATTTTGTTAGTAGTATTTAAATAGCATTTCCGTACACAATTTATTTTCATTGTATTTTATGATATCATTTTTGTTTATTCTTTGATGTTGTCTGTTAATCTTCTTCTACTAAACAGTTATCTGAACCGTATCTAAGCTATTTAGAAGTTTGGGTAACTTCTCAACTTTTTTTCAGATGGAGGTTTGTGCATTACTTATATTTGTGCATAAACCATCGCCATACTCCTGTATAATTATAGGTACCGATTGACTTCGCCTAAACCGATTTCGATTTAG